TTATGCTTTAAAATATTCAGAACTCCAAGTGGCTCTCATTACATTTAATTTTTACTTAGAATGAGGTGGTCCAGGAAAAAAAAATAGCATTGTAATAGCCCCCTGCTGAATGCCACACAGCAAAGTGAAAACCCATAGATTTCTCTCCCCCCCCCACAACACACACACGCACACACACACACACACACACAAATAAAAAAAAATGAGAACAGCAGACTACACTACAGCCTTCCATTGAAGTCTGGTTTGGCTTAATTGTACTTTTTGCACTCATCAGTCTCTCCTCTTCAGAACAAGCTACAAAAATTGCCTGAATAGCCAAAGAAAAGTTTCCCACAGTCACTGGTCACAGAAAAACACCATTGTCCTTCCTCACAGTTTGATGGACAACATTTCTATAAATGGGTCGTCAGTCCATCAATGGCACCCTTGCTGAAAAGGCAAAAGAAGAGAACAGATTCTGCCAATATCTGACAAAGCATGTTAACATATAATCAGGCATTCAGTAGCCAGGCAGCTGCCCCCGGGACCTTCATAACACAGGTGCCTTTAAGCCATTTCCTATTCACTGATAAAGGAAACAAGCAGGCAATACCTGGGAAAGGAGCAGTCTATAATAGCCTGTCAGATGTCCATCTTTTTGCCTGCATGCATAAAACTCAAAAGGATATAAAAGAAACTTCAGATTGAACAGTGAAGCTATAAAAGGAGGATAGCATTCACAACTCCACCATAACTTCAACTTATTCTTCTTACAACACTCAGTTCCCATTGACGGGTTAATTCACACACTTCTTAAATGTGAAGTGATAATATGATATCTGAAGATAATTCAATGACTGAATTTGCATGACATGCTTACTCATGAGTACTTTTACTCAACCAATTTTCCTGATTTTTCAGAACATACTGGATTCTGAACAAATCATACAGGCTGCATTCAGCATCATACTGGATAATTAGTGTTATTGACTAGCTAGTCAATTCTGTCCAACCACAACTTTCTCAGTCTTGCACTTTCTTTATACCTGCTCACTTTTCCTTCAACCTTTATAGCCACAATTGGGCCTGGAATTTTAATTGCTAAGCAAGGTAGCTGTTAAGTGACTTGCACCCAATTTTTCCACTTTTTTGCCACAAGTGTTAATCGAATCACTGCAGTTGTTAAGTGAATCATGAGGTCATTAAGCAAATCTGGCTTCCCCCATTGACTTTTCTTGTCAGAAGCCAGCTGGGAAGGTTGCAAATACCAATCACATGACCACTAGATGCTGCAATTAGTGTAAATACATGCTAGTTGCCAAGCACTCAAATTTTAATGTGATTTTGGGGGTCTTGTGATGGTCATAAATACAAGGATTAATTGTAAGTCATTTTTTTCAGTGCCATTGTAATTTCAAACTGTCACTAGATCAATCATTGTAAGTTGTATGCGCTGTCAAGTTAATATTAATTTTTAGTGACTACAGTACATATACCTTCTCCAAGATGATCTCCCCCCAATCTGGCCTTTCAGGTTTCTCAATAGTGCATCATCACAACTTCAAGTCCTTGCTGTTGGTCATCCTCTTCTTCTTTAGTCTTCTACCTTTCTCAGTGTTATGGATTTCTCAAGAGAACAGAGTCTTTGCATACTGTATTCAAAATACAATAGTTTAAGTCTGGTCATTTATACTTAGAGTAAGAGCTTTGAATTGATATGTTTGATTTTTGTTTGTTTTGGTTTCTTGGCTTTCCATGGCACTCTTAGGAGTCTTCTTCAACATCAAAGTTCAAAAACATCAATACCCTTTTTCTCTCTCTGTTCTTGTTTTGAACAGAATGGTGCAAAATATAAACCAATCATCCTATAACTTTTGCATTAATTCTTGTTAATCTTTATCATATTCCACAGAGCTAGCCAAGATCAAGAAAGAAAGAAATATGCAGATTTCAGTAAATATCTTTAAAGTCAATTTTGGGGTAAATACAGAATAGTGAGATTATAATAAGAATTTCCATCTCTCATTTAGAGAAACGTTATTAATGCAGAGTCTCTGAATTATTTAAAATGTTTCTTCCCAGCTTCCTCACCACCTGGCTGACAGTTGCTATATGTAAAAGCAGTTGTCAACAGACTTACCTTCTATCTCTTGACTGCTTATGTTCCGCTCTTCTATTATCTCCCCACAGTCTCTCACATCTTTGTATAGGAAAAAAATAATAAAGTGATTACATACACATTACCAAGTCACATAGCCATTTGATAAACAAACTACAACTGTACATTAACATGTCTACAATTAACATCATCTTCACCTACAGTCTTACTGTTTTTTAACATTTTCCCATTTATAGCATTGATTTAAGTTCCACTCTTCAGCCCTACAAATCTTTCAAATATTCCTTGGTTCATTTTTATCCCAATAATTTAATCATATTTATTATTAATTATATTCACTTTGACAGAAGTTTCTTATTTAGCCTTCTATAAAATCCCCCTTCCATAAAATCTTTTTTTAAAAAAAATTCCATCTGCATTTTCTAAGTTTAATCTGAATTCTTGCTGAATTTAACTAAATTTTTGCAGCTGTTTTTTTTTCTCTCATTTTCATTTCTTTTAGCAATCATTTTCATATATGCATTTTTCCCTCCCTCATAACTTCTTTCAGATTACTCTTCCAAGTATTGTACTGTATTGTTTTTCATACTTCCTGTTACCAAAACTCCACATATTTCTGTCATTGAGTAGAAAAAAAGTAATTTCCAAGCAATTTCCACATCCTCTTTATGTCCTTTTGCACTCCCACTGTTTTGAGAAATATATCTGCTAATAAAGTTTCCATATAGATAAAATTTCTCTTAATGCAATTACTTCTTTTATTTCTTTTCGTTCTTTCTTCTATATCCCTTTCTCCCAAGATTCTTTCCTGAAGCTACCAAAAAGTGGTTTTATCATGTTCAGAGTATTCATCACCTCTGTAGCCTTCACTACTTCACAAATCTTCCATCATCAGACAATAAACACTATTTTTAGATTTCTATTCGTTCCTTTGCCATGTATACATAAAAAGGAGCTATGTATTCAAAACAATCCTTTCTTCTAAGCAATCTCTTACCAGTCACCACTCTCCTTCATTGTTGATTCTCCAAACTGAATTCTTCAATTTCTCCTAGTTTTTTAAGGAAACTCATCTTGTTTCTATGCATTCATTTTTATCACCTAGCAGAATATTTCTCCCCATTGAATCATATCATTCAAAACATTACAAGTTTTCTCCAAAACTCTTGTTTGGTTCTTCCCTTATACAATTCAGTAGAGTACAACTGCAGCTATCATAAATCTTTCATATGTATCCATAGCTTACCTTATAACAATTCATAACTTTCTGATGTATGTTTTTAGCCTTTCATTTATAATTTATAATTAAGTCTTTACTCCTCTGCATGCATTAGTTCCACTCAAACAAGTGTCTTCCCTTTCTTTTGGTTTCACAGATACACAAGATACATTATTTAATTCATGTTTTGTACCATTTACTTTTCCTACATTGAATTTGCCATCCCCTCATATGCCATAGCTGTCCCTAGATAGACCCAAAGGTATTCTACTGAGTCTGCCACTCATGGTGGTTTTGGTCAATTGAGGTTTTCACACACTACTTAAGAGAGAAAAAGTGAGGTTTCCAACCTTGGTAGTTCCTGCATCACATGCATCATTTTTTTAAAGGATAAAGACAGTACCAATAGGTTTTACAAGCATGGCACTGTAAAAGAGCAGGCTGCCCAGAAAATTGCCTGCATCTGTGCTGCTTTCTTCCCTTCTCTTTAAGTCCTCTCCCTATTGTCCACACAACAACGTTGACCATAAAAGCTTTTCTGTGTGGTGGGAGAAAGAAGAGGGAAGGTGTATGTGAATGAACTCACAAGTAGTAGCAATAGTAGCAGCAGCAGGGAGGAGTGAAGAGTAATGGTGAGTAATAATATTATGTATATATATGTTATCTAGGGACCTGAGTTGTTGGTAGCTGTTTTATGTCTTGAGCCCACCAAATTGGGTAGTTTAAAAAAAACCCACACAGACAATGAAGTGGTGGTAACAATGGGATATCTATAAAAAAGTGGAATACCCAAAACAAGATATGATACCTGTATAGATGGAATTGGCTCAAACTCAAGTACTTGAATATGTGTGTTTAGTCTTAGGGACACTTATATTGTTGTTAGCATCTCTGTGTCTTAAACTCATCAAATTAGGTATAGCTTAAAAGAACCCAGGACAGGCACAAGTCATTTTTTACTCCAAACATGCTCAAATTATTCAGTGCAAACCATGAAGGCTTTTTAAGCCAAAATACTGTTCACAACATCACTTCATCCAAGCAGAATGTATAGTTATGCAGTGTACTAACACTAGAACACCAGGTTACCAAAGATGGTTTTTAATTTTTAATTTAAGAATGAAAATATGCCAAAAAAGAAGACACAGTCCCAGAGATTTTAAAAAATAATTTTATTCATGTATTTAAAATACTTATTACAACACAGAATATTAGGAAAAGGTGATCCTTATCTATATTGATAAGAAGGACCTGCTTGCAAGAGTACATCAGCCTGAGGCCCTTGAAATATGTCCACAGTAGTCTCTTGCTGAACAACTTTGGTGGACTGTTTCCATTACCAGCATGAGGCATTAAATCAAGGTGTTTCATTTATGACTACTTCTGCAGGTTTTATCTTTGTGTGTGCAATACACAATGCACCAGTGATCTAATAATTGATATATACAAGATTCTTTCTGGACAGGAAGTCTGAACATGAATGTTTATTTTTTAAAATATATTTTCCGTAGGTGTTCCCAATATTAAACTTTCTTCAGTGTTTGCTTTTGAGGTGCCTTCCCCCCCCCCCCGCCCAATATAGGAACAGCTAAACTAGCCACCATCGCTTTTGATTTCACACCCCCTCTCGGAAACAGCTCTGGATCTCGTCAACTCATTTGTAACTTTTCAAGGCTCGCATGCCCTCCATCTGCACTGAAACCCTATTTTCCTTCCATCGCCTTCCTACATGGGCTTTTCTATAGCGAACTGGGATGTTAATTCCTAGGGACAAAGCAGGATAACTACCAAGTGCCATGCGCAGGAGTGACGCCGAATAACAACCAAGAACTGTATACTGTACTACCGTATACCGTATTTGACCTTACGGATCAAAACGCCCTTTCCAGAACAGCAGGATATAATTTGCATTTTTTGAATGTAAGTTCCAGATCTCTGATCAACGCATGTTTTCCGACGCACACAGCTCGCAACATCACAGAAGGCTGCGCCCCCCTTCTGCAAGAAGAGAATTAGAGCAACATCTGGAAAAAGGAGGCAGCGCCGCAGAAGCGTCACAGCTGAGCTTCTCAGTCTATGGCCACGTCCCGCTCACAGGCTGATTTAGGACTCCTAAACTGGGAGCGAGGGGAGAAGGAAGGGGAAGACTCTGTCGTCATCTCTGTGCGACATGAGGCAGGAGCAGAGGGAGGGACGCACAATCCCCTACGGGGCCAATAGCGTTTGTTTTCATCGGCTGTCATGGCCTCCACGGAAGGAGAGATAGGCTTGAATCCGCCCCAGGATCCCGCTCCGCCGACGGACTCCTTCGAAGAGACGCTCGGGGAGATCCTGAGAGGTTCTCTGCGTTCGCTGCCTCGGTTGATTGGGCAGGTAAGTAAGGACACAGGGAATGAAGCCATACCTTCACTTGACCAAGGGACGGGTGTCTACATAGCGGGTCTTCCTTATCGCCACCGTTTCTGCTCTCCAAATGCCCGAGGGGGAAAACTCCGGGATAGCGGGGTTGACGCGGGCCTTGCTTGGAGGGAGGAGACAGGAAAGGTTGCCCCTCCCGAGATGCTGTAGGAATAATCTGAGGCGACGGGCTGTTTGAGGGAGCAAAGGAAGAACTAGCGGAGCTCAGATTTTGGCTTGGCTTTGAAGAGGAACCGTGCTCTAGGTAGCGAGGGCGCTCTTCCCACGTTTTCTCCTTGGGATGCTTTTAGAGCCGTCACTGTAGTTCATGTGCATCGCCAGCTTATTGCAACATTCTGAATAGGCTACAAGGAAGGAAACCCCGTCGTTTTCTTTGGGGAAAATCACTGAGACGCAGGGAGTTCCTTTTGAGATGTAATTGCTAGGCATTCAAGATTTGGAGTATTTTATAGGGTTTTCTTTCACGTTTGATTTAGTTTTGAAATGATATCTTTCTTTGATATTATGTCTGGTGCCTTGTTCTCTTTCACTATAACAGAATTACCAATGGAGAATGGAGGCTTTCAGAATGGTAAATATAGTCTACCTTCCATAGCAGAGAGAAACAGCTATTACAGTATGTCTTGTCCCCATGTATGAGGTGTTACATAACTTACACACACACACACACACACACACACACACACACACACACACACGGGGTGAATTGTCTGCTTTATCTTCTTTTCATTTCTTCTATTTTTAAACAATTTCCTTGCTTGATAATTGTGTAGCTGATATCTAACAGTATGTCAGCCATGAATAACAAATGGTTTTGATTCAAAATGGATGCTGTCACTTTATCTAAAGAAGGAGGGGAAAACATGTGGATTTCAAAATCTTTTACAATAAGTTTACATACGGTTTTAAATAACTGAGTACCTATGTACATCTGTAAGTTTGAAATACTACAGCCTAGACTTGGGGAAAAAAATCTGGTTATAAATGTAGTGTTCTCAAAGAACATGTACTCTTAAATTAGGTGAAATATAACAAACGCAGTCCCATTCTCAAAATCATTTTTTTTTGCATCCTTGATGGTTTTTTGCCTATTTCAGTTAAAAATAAGAACCTACTTATTCAAATTCCATACTTCTAGTTACATTGCTAGTAAATGATGTAGTAGTATGTTATTTTGATTGTAAAAGTATACTGAAGTAAAGTATACTTTAAAAAGTATACTGAAAAGTTAAAGGTGATGAAGAGAGAAGCCATAAGAATATATAAGAATGCTAGATGTATTTGTTATAATGAGAAAGAAGCAAGAGAACTGTGAGCTATAATTTCAAGACTTGTAATATGTCTTTGCCAAAATCCATCTTGAGGGTGGAAATTAGTTGACTGCCTACTTAAAGTGACATTTTCTCCTTTAGATAAATAAGTAGATTTAGATCTGGAAAACAAAAGCTCAATAATTTATTTTGTGGCCTTGGCTATATTTCAGAGACCATTATACTTCCATGATCTGTTAAGGTTATTAAAAATCTATTTCACTTGTAATGGTTGAAAGCAATTTTTACAACTGAATACCACAGTGGTCTGAGTATATACTCAACATTGAACTAAATTTGAATTTCTTCATACAGAATTGTAGCCAAAAAACTTGCATAATGTTTGAAACAAATAGAAATATTTGGGGTTTTTTTCTAGTTAAAAACTGTTCTCTTGCACTCTGTGTAACATGTTAATTTTACAACTAAGTGAATTGGAAGACCGTGACCAAAATCATTGGAGCATGAAATACAGAACTACTTATACTGAAATATAGGGCTGAAACCATATGTATTTATAATATCCAACAACTTTACTTCCCATAGTAACTTTTGCTACAATTATGATTAAATTTAAATGTATGTTTTATAAACTACACAACACAAAAAAAATATCCTCTGGACTCAGGAGTGCCCAAAATATTCTTGCTTAATAGGAACTACTCATGCTGTGTCACAGTTGCTGATGACATGAATAGAGAAAAGGCATTGGTAGCAACCAGAAATAATATTATAATGATTAAGTTAAACCAAAATGTGTTATCATCTCCCAAATGCCCAATACTTATTTAAATACCAGAGAAATGGGAACTGTCCAAATCCTGTTGAGAAAGACAGACATATTTGCAAATTTATTTTAACTATCATGTTTAAATGGTGACATTTTGTTGTATCTATCAGTCTGCCAGAAGAATAAACACTATTTTTTTTTATTATGTTTTTAAATTGCTTATTAGAGTTATAGTCTGTTGTTCCATTAGAACAGGCATGTCCTATGGGCCGCAAGCAGATCTGGACAGCTAATAATACCGCCCACAAGATCATAAACTTTTACAATTTTGCAATTTTTAGTGATAGTTATTATAATATATTTTATGTGGCCAAGACAATTCTTCTTCACTCAGTATGGCCTGGACAAGCCAAAAGGTTGGATATGCCTACTTGAGAAATTTAATGTAACATACATAGCACTTTCTTCAGTTCTTCTCTACAGTACTAGCCCTGTGAAGTAGATTGGGCTGAGGGATGTAGGTGGCCTCAAATTGCCTTTCAGTTTCCATGGTTGAATCTGGACTTCAATTTGTGTGGAAGTAACCACTTTACCACAATTTCCCCAAATATGTTGGGGATCATTTGAAGCAATTTTAGATGGAATATAGACAGAAGAGATGAAAACATATTACATACTAGCTGTACCCAGTCACGTGTTGCTGTGGCTCAGTCTGGTTAAATGGAAAAGAAAGAAAAGAGAAAGCGCACATTTGTAATATGTTTAATTTCACAATGCTTGTGGGTAAACAATATTTGTTGTTGTTCCATTGTCTGTGCAGATATAGAGATTGTCTGGTTTGCCGGTGCTGTTTTTCAAAAAAAGCATGTTTTTACCTGTCACAGGTGTGACATCTATATAATAGGTATATAAAAACGCACGTATTCGAATGCAATGTTGTGTCAACATTTCAAAGCAATTGGTGAAGAACTTTTGGAGATTTAAGATTTTGAACAAACGAACATTTACATTTTTATTTATATAGATTTTCAGACACTCTACTCTCTACTCACACAGAAATCAGTTTAGGTATATTGTTTTATTTTGTTTGTGTCTCATCACATTCCCATAGAATTCTCAGCCGTTTTACAAGAATGCAAACATTAAAACATCTATAATCCAGTAAAATCCAAAAGCCTAAGACACAAATCAGAAAAACCTGAGTCTCAGAACAGGAAACTGCTGGAAAATAATCTAGACTAGACAGGTTTCAAGCCCCTCCAGAACACTCTCCAGAAGAGCTCCATCCTCAACTATTTCTCAAGAACAGCTAAAGGGCCAAACGTTCAACATTACAGAGGATGGCTTTGCTGCAGAAAAGCAATGTTCCCACCCCCTGTTTATTAGTTGCTGTTTCAGGCAAATTGATGAGTCAAGCCTAATGTCGGAAGGCACAAGTAGCTTGGTGTCATGCTATAAATGACTTATAGGATTCCAATAAGAATAGCTGAATTATTAGAATATATCTAAACCACCTAGATATCTAAAATGTTAGTACATTAGTAATGAAAGCTGCCTGCCTAAGAGCAAAGCATATATTTATGTCTCTTGAAGCTTGTGATTATAAATATAATTTCTAATCATTATGAATACCTCAATTTAACAACAAGCTGAAATTTGATAGCCACAGAACTCAGTGAGCCAGGAATTCTGGAAAAGAAAAAGGATAATTTATTTTCAATAATGAAAACAAAGTTAATTGGTCTCCATTAAGATATTCCTAACACCAAACCTGGCAAAGCTGAAATGAATCCCCCCCCCATTCACCCTACTGAATTATATTTTGAGTGAGAACTACAGAGTTTTAAAAAAATGCTAGGAAGATAGATAATAAAGCACAGGTTTTATCCATAAATAAATATGGGTTTGAACGATATAAAATATATTAATCTGCAATTACATGCAACAGATTGCAATAAAAATACAATGTTTACAATAATAGGTATATAACCATAAAGGTTAAATAATATTCCACTTGATCTAGATATACTGCCACTTTGGTATAGAGGTTAGGATGCTGTCCTAAAAAACAGGGGACTATAAGTTCTGGACCTCCCTTAGGCATGACAGTCAGCTGGGTGACTTGGTCCAGTCACATTTTTTCAGTCCAACCCACATCATAGAGTTGTTGTTGTGGGGAAAATAAGAGGTGTGAATATTAAGAGCAGCAGGGGGTGTGATCAGGGGCAGAGGGTATGATCATCTAGTCTGTTTACTCCCTGCTGCTTTAAGTATGCTTGCCATCTTGAATTGACCAAAATATATAAAAGGTGGATAAAAATCTAATAATATATACAATGAAAAACATAAGGTGGAATATTTCATTCATTCAGTTGTGTATCTATTTCACAGATTGACACTCTTTTATATAACCATGGGTCCTAAGAGCAGTTCTAATCAAGAACAGAATATAGCTTATAAAACCAAAATAGTAATAATTAGTAACTAAGTCAGAAACATAGTTTGTTAGAAGAAAGAACATTTCAGATCAGTACAGCTGCAAAATGAATCCGAAAGTTCAGCTTTTCTGATTATGATTTATGGAAATTATGACTGATGGGCAGACATTCTGTTTCAGTTTCTCATTTTTTCTCTTTAATTCAATTCAGCTTTTATCAGTTAGTAATTTTTAAGGACACTTCAAAAAGCTTTTTTCCTGATAACTTGTATTTTTACACCTTCCCTTATTTATTTTGCAAGCTGTTTTCTCTAAGACAATATATTTCAAACACACTTTTTAAAAACTGATATATTTGCACATTTTTACATTTGAAATAAACTTGTGTGGAGACAGCCAGAAGCTTCCAAAGCAGTCCTGCATGTCTGCCTGTTAAAAAATGAAGCAGCTTTAATAGTTTGAAAAGAAGGGCTTTTTATACACTCAGATGGATTCTGAATATTTTATTTCAAAGAATTTGTGCAGCAATAATTATTATCTTTAAAATCTGTTATTGGTTCTTCTGATTGTCTGTATGGAAAGCAAAATGCCAGACTGGGTGAGCCATTGATCTAATCTGCGTGGCAGTTCTTAGGTCACATTTTATTCAGATCTTACCTTCTAGTATAATTGCTAATGGTTTGCATTGTAACTTTTTGAAGATGTTATGTGTTTGGATTTTAAAGTTTAACCTAGAAGAAGATGTGGTGAAAATTAACATAAACTGGGAGAAACTTCAAGGCATGTCACTACCCCAGCCTAAATTGATCTTTACTGCTCTTCAGCAGCATATTTCCTCTTTACAGGTAAATGTTTCTTATTAGGCACTTTTCTAAAACTCAGTTGCACAATTTAAACCTTAAATCCTCTACACTACTCTTAAAAATGATATATTTGCAATAGTTGCAGCTCACTTTGTGAAATACCAGAAATTCTTTACTTCCTAAAGGTCCTAACTGTTTTAAGATAACAGGCTTATTGGAAGTATTGTGGAAATACTATTGCAAGCTGTTCCGGTTAAGTAGATTGGGAAAATGCATTCCTGTTGATTTCTGCACTTCCACTGTAAATGCAGTACATTTGTATCTGGGGTGGTTATAATTAAGCAATAACACGGCAGGTGTATGTCATGCTAGGATAATGATTCCATGCGTTGGGTGAGTTCTGCCGTTTGTGGAGTGCTTTCAGTGGATCAAGAAGTGGCATTATCCCAGCATGATGCATCCTGGTGTATGTGTGTCTCAGCAATTAACCTTAGTGCCAGCACAGATCTTTTTAAAGTAACTTTTTTCTGTGCCTAATGTTTCATCTTATCAAGTAAGTAGTTTCACTGTTACATCATTTTCATTTGATGCTTTTTAATCTTTATTAAAGTTAAGTTTGCTTTATTAAAGGTAAGTTGCTTTGCTGTCGAATTGGAATGTAATCTGTCAGCAGCATCTCCTGTGAAAACTCCATTGGGAAAAATTACCATATTATTGGCACCATTTCAGTCAGTTCATGTGGCACTATAATAGTGGAAATTTTCAGCTGAATATTTCATCACTCTAAATGTATACATTGAAAGTAAATAAGATTGACTGGAGATTGAGCAAAAGCTAGTGTTGTTCTTGTGTTGTCTTTAAATATAATTGTTTACTTCTGTAGAATCATCAATTTTCTTAGTTTCAAAATAAATAATAACGCTCACTAAAATTTCTGTAGATAGGCATAGCATAAAATCCTGTTTTCCGAATTTCCTGACAGTGGGAGCAGGAGACATATTGAAACAGTTATTGTTGCACAGCTCTTCTTTGTGTTGCTTGAAAGCACTCTTCAGGATTGTGTCATTATTCAGTCTTTTTAAAACTTTAAAAAGCATTAACATTAAAGAATTGCTAAACTTGCATTTTTTCCTATATTTTATGACAATGGTAAACATTTTTTAAAAAGCAAATATGGTGTTTAAATTTTAAAAAAGAAATGTAGCAATGTAGCATTTGTTTTTCAAATATTGGTTGCACTGGGATAGGCATGATTCTGGAACAGGATATTTACTTTCACTTATGTGTTTTGGGTGGCTGCCCTTTCAAGTGGAGATGCTGTCAGTGATGTAATGCTAAAGCAAAACCTTTAACAGAATGAGAGTCTTGGCTCTCTCACATTAAGGAGGAAAAATACTTAAGCCTTAATGTTCTGAGTAAGCATTTGAATGACATGTAAATTAAGTGGTATTGGTGCCAAAAGCTGCTGCTTTGATTTGGCACAAAATAGATGAGTAACAGACAGATTTGCTTCGATAGTCTGGGCACTCTAGAGGTTTGTTTTTTTTTAATACACAGATTAGTAAAAGGCAGTGATCAAAAGGGCAGTGACACTTTGAGATGCTGTATTTTAATTCCTATTTGATTAGATTATGTACACAATAATGAGAACATATGGTCTCTGAAATTATTTTAAGGAGTTTTAGAAATCCCAGGCTTTAAAAAAAAAACATGTTCTGTTGCTTTAAATCAATTCTTTTTCTCTCCTATTACCTAGCTTTTTATGGAAAAACTTCAGCCTTTGATTAAAGAAGAAAATACCACACCCATTTATAATTTTAGTAAGACAGAACATGGAAATTTTGGAAGTAATTCAGATGTAATAGATAAAGACATACAGAAGGAAATGGAACAGACAGCCAGTGGTTCTGCAAATGTGAAAGAAGCTCCTTTTGGTTTTGACCCAGAAGTAGTTCAGATAAAAGCTGGGAAAGCTGAAGTAAGTGAAAGCAGGACCATTTCTTCCTGTCAAGTCAAAATCCTTCTTTCAATCTGAGTAGTAGTAATGAACACTAAATACAAGTTGTTTCTTACCTGCAGATTGAAAGACGAATATCAGCCTTCATTGAAAGGAAACAAGCTGAGATCAACGAAAACAATGTCAGAGAATTTTGCAATGTTATGGATTGTAATCAAGGTAGCTATGCAGCCAAACTTTCATTTTCTTATCACATCACCATTCTCTCTTCCCCTCCCCCCATAAAGAGTCCTCTAAAAAGGGAGCTAGATAGCCTGTTAACAGTGAGAAAAATATTGATTAAACAAAAATTAGACATTTTTATTTCTCAGATGTTTATCATTATAACAGAATTATACCATTTATAATAAAATTCCAAAGTTATTTCTTTCCAAGTCCTATAGTCAGTTGCCTAGAATACTATGCAGCTGATATGTATTTTTATATAGGATTTGGACTGCAATTTATATGGGAGTACATCCCACTGAATTTAAAAACGAACTATGGAATAAAACAAAAAATACCCCGATTTATTCTCATTTCAAGAAATATAACAATGCAGTGAATAGGAGTAAAATACTTCCAAACTGAAATTTTGTTCAAAATAGAAAAGCTAGTTAAAAATAAGAGAAACCAAATTCCATTTAGCCTATTTCTCAATAGCATTCCAAATTACTTTTGCTTAAATGTGGAATTTGCTATATTTTTTAATAACTACCATTTATTTAGACCAAATTTCTAGCAAGAATGGTAGCTGTGGTTTTCTTAATGAATTTCTTAACCAAACATTGATACAGTTTTCAAACATGGATATGATGGGTTGTCATTTCATAAAGATCTGTTTTAGAATTACATTGTCTTCATGTTGTGCTGGTGAGCTCAGATCTTATTACTAATCTGTCACCTTTCTAGATTAAGAATCTTATTTGCTCAGTGTTCAAAATTGGGTTCTTAAATAAAAGATAGAAATTTGATATCTACATTATGACTATTAAAATGGGTTGAATAAAATCCAGTTATCAGATTGTATACACAATTTGCTAGTTAAAAATAAAACAACAAACAAATAGCGTATTATGTTAGAAACAAATCAAGACTCCTCAATGATCATTCAAGGGAATATATATATGTGTTGTTATAAGTGATTTTCATTTCAGAATATATATATATATATATATTTGTTTCCAAGTGAAAAATATCTCTTGAATTAATTAATTATGAAGTACTTTAGGTAATATATAACTTAAACAGAAATGAGCATGTTTCTTGCTAAAGTCTTTATTTCTTTACTTAGAAAAAAATAACTTGCCTCAAAATAAAATTTTGATCCAAATTATTATGATAGTGATTTTCAGTTATGAAAACTATCAGATTTTTTATCTCCATCTATATATGTAAAATATATTTATTTCAACTGAATTGATGATTTTAATAATACATATTTTATTGTATGTTCTAATGTGTATTTGGTAATATTGCATCTTACAAATATGTATAGTTTTTTATAAAAAAAAATTTAAATGTATAGTTAAAATCTTTTGGTATTTTCACTTCTTGTAAAAGGGGAGGGAAAGATTTTGATTATGTTCTTAGGTCTTAACTGAAATTAGTATACTTTTAAGATTGTTTGGGCTAAACCTTACAGACTTCAGTGTGATTTTCTTTGGGCAAAGGTACACTATTTCAGTCCAGTATATAAATGAAAAGTAGTAAAAAAAGTTTTTCAGATTAAAAATCCTAGTAAAGACATAATTGAAGACATGCCAGAATTATTCTTAATTGTTATATTCTGTATCTGACAGTCAAATAATGTAGTTTATGTAAAGTAAGCTATGGTTTGATCAGACAATGTATCAAGCCATAATGATTTATATAATTATAATTTTAGCAAATTTAGTGAATTGAGCCTTGGTGTCTTATAAATGTAGCTTAGCATGCCCTCAAAATTCAATTAGTATTTCTACTTTGTTGAACATTTGGAATGAATTCTGAGCTCCCTAAGTGGTTGAAATAATGGGGTTCTTTTTTGTTCAAAACATCTTTAGAAAACAGCTGTGCTAGAACTGATGCAGTGTTTACGCCTTATCCAGGTTTCAAAAGTCATGTGAAGGGTAAGTATTATTACTGTATTTTCCAGCTTATAAGACGACCCCCGACTTTTGAGAAGATTTTCATGGTTTAGAACAGTGGTTCTCAACCTTCCTAATGCCGCGACCCTTTAATACAGTTCCTCATGTTGTGGTGACCCCCAACCATAAAATTATTTTTGTTGCTACTTCATAACTGTAATTTTGCTACTGTTATGAATCGTAATGTAAATATCTGATATGCAGGGTGTATTTTCATTGTTACGAATTGAACATAATTAAAGCATAGTGATTAATCACAAAAACAATATAGCAATGCTCGCTGGAGAAGCTTACTCTTCCTTGCTCAAAAATGTTGGGAGGGAGGGAAGGGGAAGGAAGGAAGGGGAAAGGAAGGAGATGGAAAAGGAAGGAGATTGAAGGGGAAAGGAAGGAAGGAAGGAAGGAAGGAAGGAAGGAAGGAAGGAAGGAAGGAAGGAAGGAAGGAGAAAGATTGAAGGGGAAGGGATGGAAATGGAGATGGAAGGAAGAAAGGAAGGAAGGAAGATTGGAGGGGGAAGGAAGGAAGGAAGATTGAAGGGGAAAGGAAGGAGATGGAGAAGGAAGGAGATTGAAGGGGGAAGGAAGGAAGGAAGGAAGGGAGAGATTGAAGGGGAAGAGATGGAGATGGATGGATGGAAAGAAGGAAGGAAGGAAGGAAGGAAGGAAGATTGAAGGGGAAAGGAAGGAAGGAAGGAAAGAAAGATTGAAGGGGAAGGGATGGAGATGGAAGGAAAGAAAATTGAAGGGGAAAGGAAGGAGATGGAGGAGGAAGGAGATTGAAGGGGGAAGGAAGGAGAGAGAGATTGAAGGGGAAGGGATGGAGAGGGAAGGAAGGAAGAAAGGAAGGAAGATTGAAGGGGAAAGGAAGGAGATGGAGAAGGAAGGAGATTGAAGGGGGAAGGAAGGAAGGAGAGAGATTGAAGGGGAAGGGATGGAGATAGAAGGAAGAAAGGAAGGAAGATTGAAGGAGAAAGGAAGGAGATGGACAAGGAAGGAGATTGAAGGGGTAAGGAAGGAAGGAAGGAGAGAGAGATTGAAGGGGGGAGGCGCTGCCAAGGACACACAAGCAGCTCCGCACAATTGTCCGGGAAGGGGGGGAGGCTCTGGCGGAGAGCCTGGTGGCGAGCCAAGCAGAGGCACATCTGGGGCCTTGGACTGACTTTTGAGAAGATTTTCATGGTTCAGAAAGTCGTCTTATACACCGGAAAATACGGTATATCTTTCTTTGATCACTTCTTGAAGAGCTAATTAATAAAGGCAAGAGAAGTCTCTTCAGTTTCATTAAATATATTTTTGAACTAATTTCACTGTATTCTGTAAATGTTCATGTTCCTTTCTTTATGTATTTCAGAACAAAACACTTGCTAAGTGTTTATCTTAGATTCCGTTAATTTGATAAGCCAATAGCAAGCCATTTTTCAGCGTCTGTAGACTTATATCTTTATATTAAATATGTGTCTGCCAAAAGAAACACTGGAAAAGTTCATGGAGGGAAGTGTTGAAAAAGAGATTCTAAGATAGAAATTTTTAATTAAATAATTTACTGGCTTATTGCTTTAAATAAAGGACATGAAAAGTTTAGGTAGCAACATTTTATTATTCTACCATGAAAAAAATTGTCTAGACAGTGTCAAGTAAAACTGCCCTTAAATTTTGTGAGCTATCTGCAGTAATATTTGCTATTCATGTCCTGAAGGTACTTTTTCAAAAGGCAACTGGACTTTCTTTGTTTTTCCTTAAAGACATTTCGCTTCTCATCCAAGAAGCTTCTTCAGTTCTGAAGCTTCTTGGATGAGAAATTAAATATCTTCAAAGAAAAATAAATCCAATTGCCTTTTGAAAAAGCTCCTTTGGGACAACCATGACTTGGATGTCTGAGAGTCTCCATAGACATTTGGTATGCATGTTAGAGATGGTATTCTTAGAGATAAGAAACAGTTGAGTAACAGTTATTAAATTGAAGACTGAAGTTTCTTTGAGAGTTGACATACATACATACATACATACAGTTGGTGAATTTAGCCACTGTCATGTATAAATGATAGCTCATCATTTAGCATGTTGAATATTGCTGTTCAACTTGCTAAATGAGGGCTTATTTTGTAAACTATGATAAAACAAAACTTTAATTAGCCTTAGTCCTAAATAGTTATGAATTTATCATACTGGGTATATATTTGTACGTACTGGCTATAATTGGCATATAGAAAAATGTATAGTATAACTGATATTTTGACAAACTCATTTTGTTTTTGAAATATAGCAATATTTCTGAGCATGAATTATAGAAGAAGCAGGAATGTTTAATTTTAAAAAAAAGAAAATAGGCAGTCTAGATAAAATATCTCTCCCTGGCCATTGTAAAAGAATAGTGACATATACCTTGAGCAGGAGATAGCTTTGTCTAAGGTTGATAGCTTCTGTCAGAATATAATGTTGGGAATAAGTTCCATTTAATCTAATGGATCTTTCAACTAAAAAGCTATGAACAGATGGACTTGCTTGGTTCTGTTATTTGGAAAAATAATAATCTTGTACTTTTAAAAATCCTAGTTTCTCGAGTTATAAATACTTATGGACCTCAGACTAGAAATAAAGATGCCCAGGTTTCCAACCATAATGCTAACACTCATTCTCATGATTGTGGAAATCAAGCAATAGAAGAGAGACTACAGAACATTGAAGCTCATTTAAGGTTACAAACAGGTTAGTAGAATGAGTTTATAGCTGAATTTTAAACTGTATTTTTTTTTCAGCAACAGCCAGCAAACATGTACTTTCATGTTGTATCTCTTACTTTTATACCATAGAATTTTTACTGAGACAAGGATTGAAATGGATTAGAGTTATAAAATCTGGATCGACGCAAATGTATTGATGTATACTATCATATGATATATTTCTTCTCTATTTTGATTCACTTTTTTACCACCATGAGTTTCAGGAATTATTTAGAGTTTTCATAGTAAGCATGCCACCCAGTTCATCACACTGCCTTCTGGTCCGGTGGTGGTAAATAGGCTAATAGCTGTTGAACTAAGTTACTTTTAAATTATTGAATATAGTAACTATTATCTTGTTTTTTCTCCCCTATTTTAATCTTGAGAAAATTAACTTTTTTCCAAGTAGTTATTTGGAGTAATTATTCACTGTATAGAAAAAGATTTGTAAGCCCTTGGCTTTTTCCCCCTTTATATTCTTCACCACTTTGCCAAGGGATAGCCTGGCCTTGTTATAGTGCATGCAACTCTCCTTTTTTGGCTGAATGGATAACATTGCTATTGAGCTGTTTTCAATTAATGAAATATGAAAAATTTTATTAATAAACTCACTATAGAAATCTACACTATAGAAATCTGGATCTTGGAGATAATCTATATAATTTAATCAATGCATTTTGGCAAATTATGACTATCAATATAGCATTTGTACAAAATATTAAGGTACTGTAGGTATGCAAATACAGTATAGCAATAAGCAATAAACTTGTCACAAAGAAGATCGTAATCAAAATAAAGGTTGGAAGGTTAATCATGTTCTATATTTTTAAAAGTGTCCTAGTCCTGATGTATTTTTTTTAATGCTTTTCCTTTTTTAATGCTTCACTGTAGGTGGACCAGTGCCTAAAGATATTTATCAGAGGATAAAAAAGCTTGAAGATAAAATTCTTGAACTGGAAGGGATGTCTCCTGAATATTTTCAGTCTGTGGTAAGTAATGTTAAGTCTAAGTATCCTGTTCTAAATGTCTTGAATGGGGATGTGTATGCCTGGATCCACGATTTTCAAAACAGCCTTGTTGAGTTCTTCTGAAGTGATAGCTCATGGCGATTTCCATCAAGGTCAATTGGGCTATTAGCAGACACAGGAATTCTGCATACACACTGGGAAATTCATGGGATGTTGTTTCAATAAGGTTGATTAGCTTTTTAAAAGTGTTCAGAGTGTTTTCCTCTGAAATAGTTGTGAAGATTTTCTCTTAAGAGCTGATCTATCAAATGGCTACATATGTACCACACATATAATAGAGTTCCTGAGTCCTCTTTCTAGTTAAAAACCAACCCTCCAGGTCAGTTAAAGGAAGTTAACAGTTAACAAAATTAACATATTAAGCAGAAAACTTTTTCTTTAATTTGCTTGTGTTTTTTTTTAAAGAGAAGTGGGTAGAGAGAAAGGGAGAGAAGACTGAGCAACATGCCTTGAAACCTTTCTGAAAAATTAAAATAACAATGATAACTTGCATAGCAGAAGCATTTTGCTCCTTATCTGATGGGAGATGAAGATGCACCCTAGAAAATTTAAGGAGGTTATATGAGCAAAAAAGTTAACTGTCAGTAATTCTCATTCATAAAAATGTGGGCCTTTCCAGATGAAAAGGATAATTACTGTTTATTAAAACTATAGTACCATTGGTAATGACATATTACATATTTGATTTTTTTAACAGAATTTGTCTACAAAAAAAAGAAAAAATCAACAAAATCAAGTGAGTCTATTTGTTACATTTATATGTACTTACAGTTACAAATTTAGAGATGCTTTCCTAATCCATAAAATGGAGGCTGTATCTTTAACTTATTCAGAATGTTCTTTCTGTCTATCACCAAAAGGGTTACATGCGTATTCTAGTTTGTCTTCCTGCAGTATTAATGTCAGAGAAAAATTTGCTTGACAGGCTTAGCAATTCTAAACTTTGCACAGCAATGTGGCCAGAGTTAAAAACTTTCTTGTCAGGGATTTTAAATTTGGTTCTCAGATTGCTGGTTTAATTGAACAGCAGGTGTGCCACAATTTTCCAGGTGCCATTAGTGCTGATATGGACAGTTCTTGTGCTAGCTACCCAACTCACATAAATAGCAACATTTTTGCCTGTTTGTGTGAAAAACGTACCAGAAGGATTCAGTACTTCAGATTCAATGAAGGTAAAAAGGTGCTTTACATCATGCAGCATTACAAGAAAGGTGAATCTGCTTTAAAGAGTACAGATGGGATTATGTGGCTGTTCCCATATACCCTGAAGAACTTTTTCCATATTATTTCTGAAGCATTGCACTGATAATTAGCAGTTTCATGGATTCCACACAGATATCTGAATCTGACTAAAGCAGTTTTTATTGAAATAATGTTTTTCAGATTATACTCTTTTTCTAAGATTGGCTTTCAGTTTATAAGGACAGCATTTTGTTTAACAGTTCGTTAATAATTTGAAAAATTTTAATTGACAAAGTCTTTTTCTCTCTCTGTTTTAATACTAGACATTTTAAATTGTCATGGAGATTTTTCCTCTGTAGCCATTAATATTTAAATCAGGAATTAACTTTGTATTTATTAGAGCTATGCAATATTTCAGAAATAATTTGGAAAATGATTGAAACATAAGGAAGCATGAATGTAGTAACCTGTCTGTACTTTTTAAAGCTGTTTCCCCTGTCTCAGGATTATGTAGCTGCTTTCTTTAACTGCCATTTAATACTGTCAAAAATGTGGCTGCTTCAAAAAGTCTCAGGCAGATGTTAAGTTTCTAGTGAGATGTACCTTTTTGGACTTGAATTCAAAGTTTTGACAGGTTTGATACCCATGTGACTCTCACACACATAATAGTAGTTTCAGTGCTATTGTTACTTTGAATTGCAGCTCACTTTTTAAAATTAATATTAGTTGAAGACTACTGTATAAAATAAAGATTCATATCATGTTTGAAAGCGTGCTGCCACCAAAGTAATCTAACATTCCAGACCATGTTATTTAAATTAAAGAAGTTTTGAAACTGGTGTGGAAGATTACAAACATGTTGTTCATCCTTTCTCCAGAGTATTAACTCCATGCTTGCTCTCAAATTATTTCTTAATTTAAATGTTTTTTCTACTAATTCATGATATTACCGTATGCTCTCGTCTTTTTCTGAATGGCAGAACTATACTCTGGCTGAACTTGATGAGAAGATCAATGCACTCAAACAAACATTGCTAAGAAAAACAAATGAAGGGAGGCCCAAAGTGGTAAATCAGTTTCTTTGATTATGGCAATGAGACTTCATTATGCTTTCATGCATATTTAACCTTTTTAGACTGAGTACTCTTTATCTAGCGTTTATCGTGGAAACTAAATATGCACATGAATTTATCTAATTCTTATTGGAAACTTGAATTAAGTAAACTTTGTTACTTATCTAGATTGAAGAATGTTTTGGAAATAGCATTATAAATATCTCCTTTCCATTAATGGAAAGGTGGATTGTAGAATTTTTAATAGAAAAAAAATAAAATTTTGTTTTCATGTTTTGTGTGTTACGTTGATGGAACAAACAAATTTCTGTTGAAATATAATTCTGGCAAGGAGTATTACTGAAAATATTACTTTATGTCACAAAGCTACAAAATAAATAAATAAAAATAAAGACTTGTCGTAACTATGAAATGTTCATGGTACCCTTAAAGAAATGAGGATTCTCCTGGTGGAGAGGAAGAAACCATCTATAAGAAATTTCTTTATTTGTTAATACTAAGAGCCTATTCTGTAAAATTCATACATCATTTTAAGAGAAGAAGTACTCACCAAGGTAAACTCATCCCTATCCAATCAAGTGACGCCAATAGTCATCCCAGCCAACGAATGCTCACACTGACTGTGGCTTTTTGAAATCTTAAGACTAAGTGTTCTCAGTTTGTTGTGAGTAGAATTTCTACAGGTAAAGTATATACTTGTCTGGAATTATTTTTATTAGTTTATGATATATAATACAAACGGACAAAAGAAAGTAGTGGAAAATAGGGGAGGGAAAAGGGAAGAGAAAAGTGTAGGCCAAGAGGAAAAAAGAAAGAAATCGGATTTTAGGATAATGTTAAATTTCTGCTTTTCAAATATACTGATGCATGTTATCAGGATCAAAATATCTAAAGGAATACTGAATTCCACTTACCTGGCCAGTACACTAAAATCTGTAAAGCAGCTGCTACTTTGGGTGCCATAACCTTTGGAGGAATGGTCCATTTTTACAAGGAGTTAATTTACACATACCGTAATTATCATTTTTATAAGGAGCTAATTTACATGGAATGTTGTCCCCAATGAGCTATGAAAGTTTCCATTGGCTTGCATTCTCTTTTGATTATATAAAGCTACTGTTTCTTTGGAAGTTTTAATATGGTTGCCTAATGCAATTCAGTTTAACTGAAATACATTATAAAGCACTAAACAAAAATATTAAAGAACAAAACTTAATAAAAAAAGAAACAAAATTTTACACAGATGTGAAGGTTTTAATGGAATTTAGAGAAAGCACAGTGATAGTGACTGAGCTAATCAGCTAATGTATTTAAACTTTTAAGTGATAGAATAATTTGGATAATACATTTGGAAGAAAGAAGAAAGTAAAACTTCCAGTCTGTAAGGGGATGGGAATGAAGGATTCCTCAACTCATCAGATTTTTTTTTTAAATCTATTTTACCTGATCTAGGTGGTCATGGATGACTAACATATTATGTTAGTCACTTTTAATATTATATAGAAAATATATAGAATTTTATATTTAGATCAAAAACTCCCATATCATCCATGCTCCACTCCTGAAGATAGTGGATACAGATGAAAATTACATTTCTCAAAACATAATTGGGTTCTCAGTAGTAGACCCACATATATACATTGCCATTAAAGTTTTTGTCTAGCAGCAAGAGATCCCATAAAAAGCAATCTAAAAGGTTTAGCATTACTCTTTTTATTCTTCTGTGTAAATTCAAGTAGTTGTAACATATATTGAGCAATATTTTTTTAACACACAAAGGGATTCTGCCTAGCATGTTTTAAGATATATACCTCCTCCACACTTCATATTATTTCAAACCATAGAACTGTAGTTTTTTTTCTATGTCATAATCTCACGGGCTTGTGAATTAGATCCTGTGAATTATAACTGGAGTGTATTAGAACGTTCTTCATTTTACACACAATAGTAGCACCCTTTATTTGAATCTATACAAGTGATTCAATGCTTATAAAATCAGTATCCAAGGGAAGAGGATAATTATTCTTGCCCTCTTCAAGTGTGTGCTTTGATGCCTGAGAATGGAAGGGGTGGTTCTCATCTGTATTAACAGAATAGGAAGAACACTAGAATTTCACAGCCTGAACTACAGGACAGAACATTTTACAAAGGAGTAAAATCAGCTTTCTTCCATGTTTTGCAGTTATCTGTGTGTACAGCTTCAAAGAGCCCTCAGTACTGGTTTGGTTATTATTATGTCTGTTTTTATAACATTTTTCATTCTAACAGAATAACTGTCAATAACTCTATATAAATCTGTCTGGCTTGCATTCTTGTTCTTTGTTTTATTTTTTAAACTGCCCACAGTAATGGTAGATCAGGATGGCTATACATTTCATCAATCAATCACCACATCATCTCATTTTTTTAAAGCCATTTGAAAACCATAGCCATTTGTGCTGTTTAAAAATGGTATTTTTTAATATTGTTTGAATACTGAAGTATTTCTGATGGGTAATCTAATATACTGATTGGTCTTATGTTGTTCTCTAATTCTGGAATATCTGCTTTACAGTCAGTTCTTCAAGGAAAGGAGTGGTTCATCTCTAGGAGACTAATTTTCTATAGCTGAGTGCAGGATTTTAATAAATAAACCCAAAAGTGAAGTGCCTATTTCAACAGCCCTCATATCAGCAGGAAATATGAGTGGCTTGGGAAATTTGAACCATTCAGTATTCTGTCTAACATTGTTAAGAACAGTAATAGATTTTTTTCTTCAATAAACATAAGTGATCTCTTTGTTTGATTTTAATTAAGGAACTGTACTACCACTGAGTAGTTTTCACTCCTAAATGCTAAGCAAATAATTTAGAATAAAAACTTAAGAGGTAAGCAGATTTTTAAATAAATAAATAAAATTATCCTTGTCAAAGAGAACGCACACACACACACACACACACACACACACACACACACACACACACACACACAGAGCTCCCACTGGACCAACCCTACCATTAGTCAGAGTGAGCCAGTTCTTAAGCAGAACATGCAGCATATAATATAAAGCTTTTTATTTGGTAGAATTAGGGTTGCCAGATGTCGGCTGCAAAACTCTAGACAACCACTAGTTGGCAGCAAACATCTCTGCTACATCTAGAGATCATCTTGAATTTTACAATCCAGGTGTAGTAGGCCTACAAATGGTAAGTATGACTGAGCCTGACCTAAACAATTATAAGTATGTGCTTCCCTCAAGTATGGTAGAAGTTGATTTCCCTTTTGCTGATTTTAATTAAAATTAAGTTGTTTCTGAATAAGGGAAATTTCAAATTGTTACACACTACAATTATGGGCATAAACTTGTCAGTTTTGAGGAAGGATGCAGTCAAGTAATACATTTCCAAAAAAGGTGATAATATAAAACAAAAGAAACAGTTTGTTATTGTTAATGCTGTATAGAAAGTTGGGAGGGAGAGCGGTGTGGTGGCCTAGTGGTGAAGACACCTCCCACTCAGAAGGTTGAAAGTTCAATCCTAGGTAGTGGCAAACGTTTCCTAGGGTGGAAAGAAAAAATATCTGCTGTGAACTCTGCATGGTGTCAGGAAGGGCATCTGGCCAGTAAATGCTCAACTCCATCCAGTCGCCCCAACTCTACCCTGAATTAAGGAATAGCAGGATTGAAAAAAAAAGGGAGATAGGAAGTTGGGAGAGGATATAAACTGAATGACACCTATAGTGTGCTTTGTTGAATTGATACTGACAGGAGTCTGATCACATCCTTGGGGGGGGGTGTTTCCCATCATTTCCCTTCCAAATGTATACATATGTCGAGTGTACACGCATACAAGTATATCACATTAAGTGCATAATAGGTGGTGATCTTAGAAGAGCACCTTTGGCAGTAGGATGAACAGTGGATGAAAAACAAACTGTTGATTTCCATAAATATCTGGGTAGCTGCTGAGAATGGTGTCACAATGGCTTTTTGCAAGAATCAAGCATTGACAAACTCACCATCAGTCAATTGCAAAAGGCAGCTTTCCTCAGAACAGCTTATCTCCTGCAACAATACCTTTAACATATCCACATCTGCCTATCCCAGTTCTTGGGAAGACTTTATAGGCGGGCAAAATGCTAAATCCAGTCTAAACATTTGGCTGACTGTGCGATGAACAACAATAATTAAATAACACAAGCGGCCAATGTGCTTTTTATTTAATTTATTACATGCACAATATCATACTCCAGAAATTCCATATTCTATTATTATAAGTGCTACATAATAACATATACAGCCTACTAAATTAGCAGTATTTGGGGACCTGTACATGAAAATATCATAAAATGGTGACATACTAATGGAAATGAATACATACATAAACCTGAAACATAAATGATTAACTGATATTTTATGGAAATGCAAAATTAAAACTTGAATTAGACATGTCCACGTCTATGTTAATATTGTGGAGTTTGTCATGCTCTCTGAGCTTGGTGGTTTACTTGCAGACAGTTCATTATCCAACTAGGTAACATTAACAATGTGTTAATGCTATTATAAGCTATTAAGTTATAAACTTGTAACCTGATCAGGTTTACTTGTAGTGTTAGAATGAAACAGTAGTTGATAGTAGTGATAGATCCTGGAAAAGGAGAACCATAAGCAGCTGATATTGGCTATCTTCAGACATGACAGACATCTAGGAGAATCATTCAGCTGTGGTTTTTGAGCTTCTGAGGAATGTCTACAGGGTATGGTCAAAAGGTCAAGGAGGTAGCTGTAACAGAGCTATGGAAACTGCTGTTCTTTATGCATATCATGTCTGCAGCACACATAAGCAGATGGAGTTTTAATTGCACTATTTGGGCTACCATCTTGATTTTTTTTTCTTTTTGGCTATATTGTGTAGACAGCCCTGTCATCTTCCACACTTTGGTTGGTAGAGCAGATCTTATTCTTCACTTCAGTAGCCAAACCTTCAGCTAGACCTGGGTGTCCATTAATATTCAGAGCTACACTGTTCATAGTTTGAATACTCAATAGAACTTATTGGACACATTATTTTAAAAAAATCCTACTTCTTAGGGTTTTTTTTAATATTTACAAGTTGATTCCTGAATTCTTAAAAGCCACAAAAACAGTGCTAAGCATATGATATGGGGAAAATTATATGATTTATAATACTAATAAATAACACTATTGTAATATGTACTGTATATAACTAATTACTTAGGGCTTACAAGGCTCAAAGACAGGCTTTGCTTCAGCCAAAGCTTTGATCAAAATGCAATTTGGAATTGTTCCAAAAATTGGCATCTGATATTTAGAGAAATAGCATAGGCATGATAGGTAGGCATGATAGGCATAGGCATGATAGGCATCATAAGATATAAAGAACTTCCTCTAAAG